TTTATTTTCTATGCAAATTAATGTATAATATTTTTCCTAACTTTAATTACTCAAAAAATATTTAAATTTGTTTCTGCCTGCCACTAAATTATTGTACTCTGTTTTTCTGCTTTCTTTTAGACTTTAGCACAGTAAGTGGAGTCCAGAGAACTAGTAAATTGACCAAATGTAGGTGACTACTTTAGCGTGAGAAGACTTGGTCTCCACCGATTGTACTGATCGATTTCCATAATAGGAGATAAACACCCAGCTAACAGGTAGACAGAGCACTCTTAACCACAGCCTGGAACAGAATCCTTGTTTCAGCTGCCAACACATAGGTATTTGGTACCACTGGAACAACCAGAATATCTGAGACATTCATACTAAGGCAGCCAACATAACGCTCAAAGTCTGCACCTGCTGAAGGTCATCTAGAGCACACTATAAGGTGTCTCAGCTTGCCCTAGATGGCTGGGTTTAGGCAACTAAATTGAGCCTATTGGACTAAGAATATTGCCAGATCCTTATAGGTGGAGAAGAATACAGGCTAGACTAGATTTTAGTTCCATGATTATTACTATAGATCCTGAAGAAAACTATCTATCTTATGTCAACCCAGTTCTCTCCCAATATCTTATAAAAGTATAAAATTGACAATCAATATTCACAGGAGTTTACAGTGAAATTCTAAAAATAATGAAATGCCTGCTAGTGGATTTAATGAGGCTTATATTTACAGAGAAGCAGATTTTCAAAACAAAATAGAGTTTTTCTTTCATCAGAAAAAATATATTCCGGTGAATTGTAAAGATTCTTACATTTACAAAGATTCACTTGGAGCAAGTGGCGCTTATCAATAACAGCATGGTAATCTTACTAAATGAGTGAACTCAAAAGCATATCAGAATGTATTATTTTCATAATGCACAAAAGTTCAAATTAAAAGTAGTTAGAAAGAAGCAGAGTGAGTAATTAAAAACAAATAAGCAACTGCTTATACTTGTATTTATACTTATATTTCAGATACATCCAAATCTTTTCCAGTATTACAACAATGGTGGTGAGCTGAACACACGTGCAGTGCAGGGTTTTGAGGGATTAGTCTTCTTAGTCCAATCTATAGTGTTGGAAAACAGTTTTCTGTGTTACAATAAGTAGCACTTATTCTTCATGGGAACCCTAAGCTCCTAGGGAAAATCCTAGTATTTTTCAGGGCACTTTTAAAGGATAAAGGAGATGTACACAAAAATTTTGAATTATCTGTTCTTTGTCTCATATTGTTGTTTCATGACAAAGCCTTACAGAGAAAGAAGAAAGTCACTTTGCAGTCCTCCTGGGACACAGCAATCATGTATGAATCTATCATGGCTAGGCTTCACGAACGAAGATTTGGGATATGAATCTATAATGTCCTCTCATCCATGCATCACTGAGGAAGGAAAAATCAAAGTAAGCTTTCTCTTCCAGCCCTGCAGTGTGCTTGCTTTCTCTTTTTGCTGATTACATGCTCTCTTTACTGTTGAAATAATATTAAAAATGCATAATAAAAACTTAAACTATTTGATTTAAACCCTGCTGTTTGCCTTAAAAAACCTCTACAGAAATGGTCATCCACTTCCCAAAATAAATTCCCAGCAAACAAACAAAATCAACAACTGCTATCATGAATTAAAGAGGGGTTTATATTTTCTTCACCATAAAACAGGGAAAAATAAATCCCATCAGTAAGTAAATGAAGTGGATCTCAGTGTAACCAATCTGTGAGCTGAAAATTAGTTTAATTCCCATGGTAGGAAATTTAAGAGATTCATAGATTAGAGGGCCAGAAGGGACTGTTGTGATCAAATTTATAAACTTATGCAGAGATTTTCAAAGGCACAGAAGACATTTGGGTACCTAAATCCCACTGACTTACAAAAGAAGTTGAATTTTAATTAACTTCATTACAAAGCTCCCCTTTCAAGGAATAGTAATTTGACCAATAACCTAATCCTAAATCCTGATGCATAATAGTCAATGTCACCGATGATTCAATTATCAGTGTCTCAACACAGTCAAAATGCAAAAAAATTGTAGCACCCCCAGTGCCTGTAGTTTTTCCTCTGACATTACCTGCAGAGGAGCCAAAAGAAATCTGATTGCTAGACCTGTTCACAGACCTGTGCCTCCATGGTCATGCTGAAAGTACCTTTAGACTGAAACAGGAAACACAACCTACAGACAGATTCTATTAAAGGTAAGCAGAAGTATAGGCAAAATCCTACACCTTGAGGGAAAACATATCTCTTATTTAATTTGAAAAAAATACTTCTTCGCTATGCAAAATGTCCTGATGACATCACCACATTATGATAAATTACAGGTTTTCAAGCTTACTAGAGCATAGTCAAGATTCAAATTAGAAGGGGTTAAATGCATTCCCATTACCAAAAAGGACTCTCTTCGAGCAGGAAATGGCAGATTCATCAAAAAGCTTGAGGAAATTTGTTAATCTCTTAGAACAGACTGTTTCTCAATGGTCTACTTCCTGTATTTAAACACGGTTTATCTTAGTTTTAAAAATAGCATTTAAAAAGAGGAACAGAGGAAGTGTTATGCTGGGTGATCCATCTATCCCTAGTATCCTGTCTCCAACAGTAGTTGCTAACAGAAACTCTTATTTTGTTAGATATATTTGGTGCCTTCTAATTACAGTTTTAAAACTCTACTTGTGTCTCTCTTCCACTATGTTTTTTTTATGTTTATTTATTTATTCCAACATTACTGGCTATGCTTTCTGAAGTGTTGCCAGAAACACTACTCTTTTTCTTCTAACTTTGCTGACTCTGAAGAGCCAGTAGTTGATGCTTTTCTCCAGCAGTTACATTTTGAAAGTTGCTGTTGGTCTCAAGCATTCTCTCTAGTCTCAGAGACAGAGAGAAAACTTAAGACTGGCAATACTAATAGAACTGAAGTTTTCTTAACAGGGAAGAAATGTTTTTTAATGGATCTGCTGCTGCTGCTTCCTTCCCAAGGTGACTGACATGGAAGCTCTGACTGACAATATGCTGACGTCAGAAGAACAAAAGAAAAGAAATCTCAGCAATGTGCTTGCTATTGAAACATCTGCAGTATTGGTAAAATCTCAAAAGCTGAAGAGATCACAGGAATTTTTTATACATCACTCAGTTCAATCCAGTCTGGGTTCTTTACTTCTAAATACATTAATAGACTTAATCTCTGAAATTATAATTTTTACTAATTCTGGACAACAGCTACTTTATCTACCAAATGGAAATAAAGAGAAATTGATCTGACTGATTTTTTTGAGGGGAAAAAAAGTAGTGTAATCTTTTCTGAGACAAATGTTCCAGTCAAGTATCCTATTCAGAAAAGTAGGTGTAACTGGTTTCAACAAATCACACTTATGTCCATTCTGAAGTTCCAGCATATGCAAAATAACAGCCTTAAAATGGTAATGAAATTATTGGAAAGAGGTGGTGCACTTTTTTCTTTATCTGCTCCAAAAACCAGCCCCAACTTTCTCTATTACCACTAGCTGTAACAAAGATTAGGAGAGCATACTGCAAAACAGAAAAAAAGCCCTCTTTTCACAGACTTAGTTCTATATTCTTTGTAAATTTAGAATCAGTTTTCCACCCAACCCCTCTTTAAATAGCAATGCCTAGAGTTGGATAAAAAATTACTCCTGAATCTTGCAGGAAGGAATGATTTCTTATGTTCATTTAGTTAAGAACTTACTTCCATTTCATAGGGATATTTCATATTACTAATACCTTATTAGATAATTTCATTTGAATCTCCCACCACTGATTATTAATACACGCATTCCGTTACACACACCAGTTAATAGCCCCAGGCTGAATTTTCACCAGGCTGCTGTCACCTTTGGATTCTGTTGTATGAATTCAAAACCTTTTAGGCTCTCTTTTTTCCTGTCTTTTTTTTTTTTTTTCAGATTTTCTCTCACACTTCCTCAACATATCTCTCTCTCCATTCTTCTTCACCAAAGTGAGAGATAAGGTCCTGGATACACTGTCTCTTCTTTTGTCCCATCTCTCTTCAACCCCAGCCAATGGTGACTTTCTGTGGATACTCATATAGCTTAAGCATCCTTTTTCTCCAAGATCATCATACCTGCAGTAGTAAAACCATACAGGTCAGTCTGCACTTTAGGTAGTACTCAGTAGACACAAGTCTAAAGAAAATTAAAAAACCTCTCCCGGACTCCATTTACTTATTGCTCTTGCTCCTTCAATTGTCCTGTTACTCAAGGTCCTCCAATTTGCCTCTATTGAAACAAATTTAGGTTAGGTCTGTTCTCTCTCAGCTTCAAAATGCTTGCAGATACCATGGTTTGTCCAAGGTAGCTACAATTCCCCAGAGTTTCAACCAAACAGAGAAAGATTCAATTCTGAGAATTCACTCATTTTACAACAACGATAATATTTGCATGTTTAGACCAGTATCAAGCATCACACATCACATGGCTGATCTGGAAGCAAACAGCAACCTTCTAAGAGCAGGGATCTCATTCTCTCTCCCCTTTCCTCCTCCCTCTTTCTCTCCTAATTTGCTTTTTCTATCCTATGGATCAAAAGAACCTTGGGGCTTTTTCTTGGGCTGAAATACGTGCTTCCATGCACACCTTGATTAAAATACTATTGTGCTATCAGTGTGTTGGTTTTATTACTTTATACTGATGCTGAAACTTGATTTGTTAGGCCTTGTTTAAGCTCACCATATAAGTCGTTTTCTTTTGATCGTCTGACTGGTTTTCTTGAGAATCTTATTTTTCCTTGCTTGCTTCCTGTGGATGTAGAAGCCAATCTACCTCAAAGGTGACTGCTGTGCTTATTCAGCAAGATAATATTGCCTTTGGAATTAATTTCTAGAAAAGACAAGAATAGTCAGAGATTCTACAGATGTGAAGTTCAGAGGCAAACTCCACTTTTATTTTTTTATTTTGATTTTAAGAACAGAAATTCAGCATTTCTATTGTGGAAAACAGACACATAATGAATAATATTTATCATATTCTTTCCTGGCGAGGTGGGAGAAGAGACTATACTGATAGCAAATGCTGCAGTAGACTTTTTTTTAATCTTGAGAGATGATAAAACATCACAGTAACAGCAATGAACTAGAAAAATCTCTATAAAAGAAAAACAATTAGAGACAAATAAAGTACATTAAAATACATTACAATTCTCTTATTTTCATTTTATGTGTGTACAGAATGCACAGGCTGCAGTCAGAAAACAGTTGCAGCTCATTACAAACATGAAATAATAGCTTATTCTTAACCTTTTAGCAAGAACTTCATATATAATTAGTGTATCTGAAAAATATAATTCTTGAGATTAATTCACCATAATGAAATCTTCTCTCGTGTATTTCCACTTCTCATTTATTCACCCATAATCCTCCTATCTTGGTGTCGAAACAAGAAGAGGAGAAGCACCAAAACACAAATTAGACAGCGTTTAGGCACTTAATGTTCCTTTAGAAATACACTGTTTTTACAATATAATTATATCGTGATAAAACTTAGTAGTTTATGAAGTTTGAAGTGTTTAAAGATGTCTACATGGTTTGAAAGGAAAGGGAATTTCAGGTGTTTGAGTCAAAATTATTTTGAAAAATATAATCTGGAAAGTAAGTTAAGTTAATTTCTAAACTGTCTTTAATATGTATATTCCTTGATAAATAAATAAATAAACAGATAAAACTTAAAGTTTTCATCTTATATTTCATCTTATATCTTCAGCTTCTTGCCAGATAATAGAAAGAGAAAATATCGATTTCACATGTGCAGTGAATAATATTTCAGTGTTTTTGGATGCCTCAGGAAACTAAACTGGTCAGAAATTATACAATCAGTAGTCTCAATCTTCTAATTTCACACATTTCTTTTATTCCACAAATAAGTCCTTTGAAAGCTACAATTCTGTCAATTTTTTTAGTGCATTATCACAGTGGTCACCTCTTAACTACTGTGTATGAGAGAACCGCATCCAACAGGCATAACCTGTAGAAAAACCTTTTTATTTTCTAACAACATTCCTGAAGCAGATTTTACAGAGCAGGATTTAATGTCATGCTAAGGAGAATTAGCCTGTGTTTTGAATTAGAACATCTCTGTTATGGTTTATTCACAAGTAAGTAAGGTTTATTGCAGCTTTCAAATTCTGTTCTATAGAGTATTGGTAGAATTCTTATTAGTGGTGTAAGGGAAAAAGTTAAAAAAGGAGAATTGCAAGAGAGGTAAAATTGGGGAAAGGAAATTTGTGCCTGGTTGTGAAGGTTCAGCAAAAAGCTGTAGCTTTCTAAATTAGAGAAGCGATTGGAGTGATCTTTTTAGCTTTGAGATATAGCAGCTTCAGTTTTATTTAAGATCTCCTAGGTAAGAAGACTGAGAACCACCTCTCCCTTTTATGAAAGAATAAAGATCTTTTTCTTTCACTTGGAAAGGTTTCTTTTTCCCTCCCAGACGATTTATTAAGAGTTTACACAAAGACTTCAATCTCCTGTGAAGCCTCCTAAATTGTTCATCTTTAAGCATACACAAGGATGTGATAACCTAATATTTTTAATGCAAAAATATGCAGAAAATGCACTTAGAAATACCACAGGGACACTTAATACAGCAAAAAGAAATTGGAAAGACACATCTGCATTTTGTTTTTCTCTCACTTAAGCCGCCCTTGGAAATAGTGGTTTGGATATTATCCGCATGACATTCTGAATACCCTATGCCTTGTTAGTGAAATTTGTCTCAGACATTTTCCTCTACATCCAGTCTGACAGAACACAGGCCATCTTGAAAGTATCCTTTAAATAATATCTTTCATACATTGCTCTATTTTTTATTATTAATGTCTTTCAGGGCATGGGTTTGAACACAACTCTCACTAGGTTTCTTGGACAGAACTACTATTCCTGGAGTTGTCAGCTCCAGCTGTGCCACAGAACTCTAAAAATAAATGGATATACTGCAACCTGGTGAGACTGTTATACTCCTGTGGTGCTTGTTCTTGCTCCTCAGTGAGCTACACTGGTTCATTGGGTCTACACCGAAGAAGTTGCGCTCTGCTCTCATGTAGTTGTAGAGAAAGGTTTTGAAGTAGTAGTCTATTTCTTAGGAATGGGAAAAAAACTCATCTGTTCTTGTTAACCATGAAATAAAACACATTGAAGATCCTTTCTAGTCTGCAGCAGTTCTGCCATCGCATGGCACCAGCACAGGATATTCCTACAAAGACCTAGGTTGTGAAGGAATATATAATCAATTCATCCCTACAGATCAGTGGAACAAAAATCATTCAGTGAAAAACACCAAAGCATACCTTCCTTTTTTCCTTTCATATCTGTTAGTGTGCATCTTGCATGCGTGAGGCTTAGCCAGTCTCCAAATACAACTGCTGATGTGTCATTTACATAGCTTTCGTCCTCCCAAGCATCCTTCTGAAGGCATTTTTGCCATTTTCTCCAAACAATGTGGCATCTCAGTGTGGTTTTTCCCTATCAGAGGAAAGCAGCAACACCTTGAAATAAAATCAAAGCCACAGCCTTAGAATAAAAAAATTATTTTCAGAAATGTAAAGAGAGGACATATTAGATATATCCTCCCACTAGTTTAAAAAAAAAAATTAAAAGGAGAGAGGGTCTTAAATAATTTCAGCAAAAGCCAGTACAGTTAATAGGAAGCACTAACTCATTTGTCTGGAAGAGACAGACAGAGAAAGCAGATAGTACTAGTTGCCTTTATAAAAATAAATGTGTTAAGTCACTTGAAATAACCCTCAGTAGCTACAGTTTAAAAAAAAAAAGTACCAAGTTACAACAAAACCTAACATCTGTGTTAAAATTCAAAAGTTGTTTCAGGCTTTTAAAATTTTGTAATAGAAGGTAAGACATTTTATAAACTGTCAGCTCAGTGATTTGGCTTCAGCTTTATCTACTGCAAAGCAAGAGGTCAGGGTTAAAGTAGAGCCAGAAGCCTCCTGCCTTTGGGACCAGCAGAGATGAGAAGGATCTGCCCTTCTGGACTCAGGGGAGGGAGGAGGTGCAGCTCACTTCTCTCTGGAGCACTCCCCAAGTAGATGTCTAGCTCCAGAAATGACAATAGTAATTATAATCTTGAAGATGGCAGAATAGCTGAAACAGCATGGAGCAGTATTAAAAAAGGAAGAATCCTCAGGAGCTATTGAATACCCTTTGGAAGGCTGAGTGTGCTTGCTTTGGAAGTTTCCCTGAACGGTGAATAGAGGGATTTAAGACAGCAGGTATAAAAACACGTGTTGTTGGAATCTAAGACAGCAGTAAGCAAAAACTGTGAATCATCATTAGTCATTATAAGGAAATAAAGGGATATGTGCTGAATTCAGATGAAGCCCTTGACAGAGACGGTGACAGTTACTGAAAAGACAGCAGAGCTCTCAAGTCTCCCTTATAATGGTGGCACTACAATTGGATTTTACATGAAGCGTAGTCTGCTTGCTCCTTAGTTGTCATTTTTGAATCAGCTAGGGTCTGACACATTGCTGCTCCAACAAATAACTTATCATTGAGCTTACAAAAGGTTAAAGTTCTTTTTATTTATAGATCACAAAAGCAGAGCAGCAGTAAGAGGCAGTACTCACTATTCACATTCATTTCTTGAAACCGTGCCCCTAAAAGTTGAACTGCAAAACAGGCATTTAGCCAAGGATGTTGTTATTACTCAGCTGTTGTGGTGACTCTGCAAAGGTGTGCTGAACACATTCTCAGCTGCTCTGCTCCATGGAGGGCAGAGAAAGGTATCGTTCCCTCCAGCTCAGAAGCAATCCTGAATCTCTACAAAAGTAGGAACAGACTTACCTACAGGAGGCAAAAATGAAACAAACAAAACAAAAACCAACCAAACAAAAACAACACACACAAAACCCAACCAACCAAACAAAAAAACCCTCACCTGAACCTCAGCAGAAAACATGTTTTTGATCATAATAAGGTAACTATATAACAAATGTATTCTGAAGGTGGTTTTATAGAGAGTTGGTGCAGGTAATCAGAAAACATTTAATATTGTTCCTTGCTAGAGTGTGCACTGACCCTTACCTCAGGTTTCATATGTAAATGAGACTGTAGGAAATTAGCTCCAAAATTTTATGTGTTTCCTAGTGTAGTAATCACAAATCTTTTCGGGTTGGTCTCGCTGCTCCCCACCTCCATCCCATCTGTCATCTTTTTCCTCACTAATTTCTTCTCTTCCCCAACTTTTGTCTTCATAGAGGGATGAATGATGACTGCCTGTCTTTTTCTGGGATCCAGCTCAGCTTCTGATCCTCTCAAGTCTCTCCAGGACTCACAGCATCTTCTGTCTTTTTCCACAGGCAAATAAAAAAAGAACAAACAATAATGAAGTTTTTAACACTCCCAAGACAGTTACAGGTACTTACATCTCTTGTCAAGAGACTTCAATGTGAAGGCTGCACACAAAATGAGTAAGTAATAACCTCTTTTAATTGGATCACAGCATAAGACCAGGAGGAACCATTGTATTATTTTGTCTGACACCTCATATATCACAAAACATTATAACTTAGACCACTACACTTCATCCTATTTATACCTTACAAAACTCAATAACTTATATTTGACTAAAATAAATATTTTTCTAAAGGTATCTGGAGAAACACAGAAATGTAGAATCTCTCACTTCTTTTGGAAGTTTAATCTACCAGTTGATCATCCATTAAAATCACTGCTAAAACTAAAATTTTATTTCCAGGCTGGTTTTTTTTCTAACTGCAGCATCTTGCTATTGGTTCTTGTGATGACTACAGTTCTTTTATTTTTTTTTCCATGAGAGTAAAAAGCCCTTGAGTATGCAGGGTGTTCTCACAAAACAATATTTAAGCACTGTAATCAAATTGTTTGTATATCTTCCTTTTGCCATATAAAATTGTCAGAATATCTCATTGAAGTATACCTCTCCACAGTCCTTAAATCATTTTTGTGGCTTTTTTCTGCTTCACTCCAAGTTTTGTGCTTTGGGATCTCCATCTGGAAATCATCATTACAATTAACATTCACGTACATCACCACATTTTTGTTAACATGACATCAGTACAGGCATTCTAGAAATTACTACTAAAATCTCTGTAAAGTATTTTTTAATATAAAAGAATAATACAAAAAGTCAAAGAGAGGTAGCAACGGTTTTCTGATTTCTTACCTGAAAATTAAAGGTTTGAAAGACAGAAACAATTTTTAAGAGGAGACTCCATCTTCCACTTTAACAACAGATTCCAATTTATTTACGCATCTCTACTCATTCAGTATAATTCTTCTGCACACACAAACAGAAATACACATTTATGTACAAAGTTTAATTCTGAGGTTGGGAGGCATAATGGAGCATAATTTTATTATACTAGATATTTTTCCTAGAGGTGCATATTGATTTCACGCTGTCAAACAAACTGCAAAATACATTATAACAAAACAATTAAAACTGCTGATAATTATTACAATTAACTCGCTGCTTCGTACTAATGGAATGTTCAAGCATCCGAGCATTCCTGATTATCAGAAACTAATGGATGTTCAGAAGAGGATGTCATTTTCTGTAGCAATTTGTTCTTGGCCAATTTAATGTTCCCTCAAAACAGTTTTCCGTTCCCAAATGTCTCATTTGTGGCTTTGTGAAGGAAAGGATCATGACAATATTGTTTCAGTGCTTATTTTGTCTTCAGAAGTTTCAAGTCTGCTCACTTTGCTGTTATGCCAGGAGCATGTAATCCAAAATAAAAGAATTATAGAATCATTTTATACATTCATTTGTTAAACAGAACTGGAAGATTCTCATTTAAAACAGAGTCAAGTATGAACTAATTCTACTGAAGTGTAGGAGTTGTGGCTGAATGAAGAACACTTTATCTAGTTGTATTTCTCTATCACCTGTGCTTCTTAAGCTGTGTGAAACCTCCTTATTATATAGCTCTTGATCCCCGTCATGCTGCTGTAACATTTGTGATGCCATTCCAGTGCCTGATCATGATGCTTTTCTATCAAGGTTGCAAGGACAAGCTCCTAAATGGAGTTTTCCTATTCAAATCTGACGTACAGTAGTCCTCTGATAGAAAGGGCAATCTGGGAACAGCAAATGACAATCCCTTCAAGCTTACTTCTGTACACATGCATTTCTTGAACTTATTTGCCAGATGCTCATCAATTAAATGTTACCCTAAAGTGGAATCTTTTCTACAGGGAATCATACAGCTGATCTAGAAACCAATCAGTGTTTGCCAATTATAGTGGCAATGTTAAAACTTATGATACAATAATTTTCTTTATGAAATACTGTGATGCACTTTTCAACAGGGAGCACTGTGATCAAGGGTGGCATCAATTCTATAAGGAAACTGTTTTACAGAACATAACTTCTCCAGTGACTAACATAATGGAAAAAAATGTTTCTCAAAAGCTCAAAAGCAGTGTCAGCAAAATCATGAGACAATTAACTTCCTTTTTGAGATTTGGATTTCCAGCATCTTCATTTTGTCATTCAGAGAAATAAAATAATTAACAGGGACAAGCATTTCTTCAATATCACTCACGTGGTTTTGTGTATTAAACTTAGGGGAGAATGTCTTGTGATGTAAGAGTCTTACTGTCTTTCACAAATAAACAATATAATTCAAATAAATAAGCCATCACAGCCTTATGAGCCTTCCCATAGAAAACAAAAGAAAATAAGCTAGAAGAAAAATTTTATATTCTTTCATTAGAATTGTTTAGGATATGATACAGTCTGAAGAATAACAGTCTGTCTTTGAATTTTTAAATAAAATTCTCAATAAACTGGGGCAGAATTTCCAAGGATTATTCTAAGACCTTTAATCTTTTTTTAAAGCAGGAAATATATTAGTGTTTTGCTGATTTTTAAAGCAGGAAATACCTCAGTGCTTTGCTGAATCAGGGCTAAAAGAGCAATCCAGTCACACTCTGGGAGAAAAATATCACAGTGTGTAAAATATCCATAATGTGATTAAGAAGAAAAAGGTCATTTTGAAGATTAAAAATATTTAAGAGTTGAAACTTTAAAATATTTCCACACCTAGGGTAAGCAATATATTCCTTCACTAATATGTTCACCTAGTAACACAGCTTAGCTAATTACACAGCTTGAATAAATAGCTTCGTGTCACTGGGGATAGAGGTAAGGAGCAAGTAAGTCCATTCTGGATTTAAATGGCTGAACAATAGTTCTTACAAAACACCACAGCTGACAGAGACCAAAGGCAGAAGTCCTCATCATGCCATGTTTCTTTTACACATACCTGGAGAAGGAACCAAGTGTCTCAGCAATTCTGAGGTAAGCGTGTCATGGAAGGAGAGCACGGAGCACGCAAAGATTTGGAGGTGATTCTGCAAATAAATTGCCTGTTGTTGTTGCCTGACTATGCTCACTGAAAAAAGACTTTTTCTGTAAATAAGCAAGGCAAAAAATAAATACCTACCAGGAACTTCTCCTCATAATGGAAGAACCCATATCATCCCAAACATGGTTTTTTCCACAACATGTTAGAATCATGCAATAACATATTAGTGCCAAGAGGCATGAACACCTAATTAGTATGACCAATATGTGTTCCTATATCTGCTATACTTACTTAGAGTCTGGCATATTAAGTGAAATCACCACCTTTTAGTGACACAGAGGATTTGTGGTTATGTATTTGTTCTGCATTTAGCCAATAGAGACATGATTTTGACTACAGACTTTAGGTGCTGTCACAGTAAAAAACAATTTTTCCCCTATTTCACCTTAATTTTAAAATGGAGAATTAAAATACCAGTGAAAAAATCAGAAAAGGCCATAAGGCTTTGTAAGGACTTTGGAGTACTCTGAGCTAGAATACAAAAACCCTATTAGTTTCCTTTTCTCAAAACATAAATGTGGGCTAACATCTCTAGCAAGCATCTGGGAACAGCTGAATTGTACTGCAGTTTCTAGCACAGTGTTCTATGATCTTTTTTAGTACAGTCTCTTCCCTCCCACCCCTTTTTCAGACTCTATAGCCAGGCTGTCATAAAGAGTTCCTTAGAATGATTCACATTTTAACAGTACTATGGATATGTAAAACATGAATTAGACTTACTAAAAGAAATAGAATCAGAATGTAAAGTAGAGAAAATGCTGTTTCAAGGAGCTATGAAGTTCACTGTAGCCTCAGAACTGAATTCAGCTCTTGAGCTTACTACTTCATGGAAATTGCACAAGTTACCACACAGGGCAAATACAGATCCCACACTATGGATCTCTCTCTGCTGAATTCAATTAAATGTATCCTAGGCTGACAAGCCTGGCATCCTCAGACAACATTTGTGTTTGTAAAACAATCTTTTTTTTCTTTTTGAGAAACTTTCCTGTATAGTCCCATGAATCAAAGACTGCAGACGTAAGGTATCACATCTCAGTTTTGACATCTCAGTACCCTTCTTAGGCCTGAATGTTGTTATCACATTCAAGGATCTGAAATGCACATAACACACATTTTAATTCTGGCAGTATGACAAAGTAAACTAGGAATGAAAAGATGAAGACATGTCATCACAGATCCCTGGAAGAACAATGGGAGGCATTGAAGGTAAACACAGTAACACCATGTCTAAGCCCTAGATGAATTTCAGCTGGAAAATGAGAAAACGAGCACAAAGATCAATTGAAATCTCAGCAGAGCCATATGACACCAGAGAAAACATTCATTTCCTAACATCAAGACAGTTGAAATCAACTTTATTAGATGAGTTTTTAATTTTTCATTGTTCACAAAAGAATGCCCCTCCCTAAAAAAACAAAAAAGCAAACAAACACCCCTGGAGCTGTTGGCAGGCTAAGCTAAAAAGATTGCTAATTGTTGGTGAGGAAAGCTCTTTAATTTGGGCATTTACGAGGGAAAAAATAAAGCAAAGAATGATAGCTAAATGACTTCTTACCTTCTGTGGTGAATTTTAAACATCCAGAGAAATAAAAGCCTGTCATCACCTCAAGTAGTTTATGGTCAACCTTGTAGACGGGCTGAAGCAGTGTGCCATGAGAGTGTGGGATGAAGACAGAGAGTCAAGCTTTTGGCTTCCTCACTGAGCAGAGGCTCAAAAAGATCATGGAGGTGAATCACACAGAACTTTTGATAAAGTATTTGAAAAAGGGAAGTATTTTCCATTGTTCACTTCACTTCTGGAGGCACGCATAAAGCTTATTGGTGTCACCAGTGGGAAAAGACTTGCCTTTTCACCACAGGAGTGTTCATCTGCCATTTTTTGCATGGCCAAAATATTGATGACTCACCGCAGAACAAATGTGATGGATGCAAGAGTAATCAAGCAGATAGTGAACCTGATGAGTGCATTTCACATCTGAGGCTTGTTTCCCTTTCTCTGTCCCAGGCTGAAGTAGCTGTGAATTATTTTAATTAATCTGCCATAGAATGTCATAATGCCTAAATGAGTTCAAAAGTTCCAATATAATCCCTAGCTCATCACAAATATCACCTTCAGCAACAGTCATTTCTGTAGTCTTAAATCTGAGAGACACGTAGATAAGATGACAGGTGTAAAAGAATAAAATATAGTAGAAATCGATTAGAGTCAAGAAGTTTTTCTTCCTTAAGCAACATTTTTATAAAAGAGAAATTACTACAACAAGAGTGACTGTAATTTCCTTAATGACTGAAAGATCTACATATTTTCCCTAAAAACTAAATTTCACTCTTTCAGTGTAAATTATAAATAAATTATCTAGTTTTCCATGATTGCTATAGTTCATCACATTGAAAACTGTGGTACCTGCACTGAGAGAGATGCATTCAGTAACTCATGTCCTAAACAATCAGATGTAATTAATATGATAGTCACAATTAATATAATGTTTTCTTATCTAAGATGAAACAGGCAGATGGGGACAAGAGTCTCACATGCATCTGCTATCACATAATAGGAGCCCAGTAGGAGATTTTTTTGCTTGACTTCCTATTTACGTATTTCTTTAAGTAGAACCATAGAATTGTTTAGGTTGGAAAAGCCTTCTAAGATCATCAAGTCCAACCATAAATCTACCACTGCCACATTCACCACTAAACCATGTCCTTATGTCCTTTTAAATTCTTCCAGGGGTAATAACTCAACCACTTTCCTGGGCAGCCTACTACAATGCTTAACTACCCTTTCAGTGTAGAAAATTTTCCTGATATCTAATCTAAACCTCCCCTGGTGCAACTTGAGACTATTTTCTCTTGCCTTATCACTTGTTATCTGGGAGGAGACCAACTTCCACCTCACTGCAACCTCCTTTCAGCTTGTTGTAGAGAGTGATAAGGTCTCCCCTCAGTCTCCTTTTCAGGCTAAACAATCCCAGCTGCCTCAGCTGCTCTTTATCCCACTTGTGCTCCAGACCCTTCACCAGCTTTATTGCCCTTCTCTGGACATGCTCCAGCCTCTCAATGTCTTCCCTGTAATGAGGGTTCCAAAGCTGAACACACTATTCAATGTGTAGCCTCACCAATGCCGAGTACAGGGGGACAATCACTGCACTAGTCCTGCTGGCCATAATATTTCTGATACAGGCCAGAATGTCATTGGCCTTCTTGACCACCTGGGCATGCTGATGGCTTATATTCAAGCAGCTTTGTTGTGACCCAAGTACAACTTGACTTTGTACCTCATACCATTAGCCTTGGTCCATTGACTCTGCCTGCCCAGATCCCTCTACAGAGCCTTCTGAGCAGAGCCTTTTAGCACATCAACACTCCCACTCAACCTGATGTTCTCTGCAAACTGACTGAGGGTGCACTCGATCCCCTCATCCAGATCATTGATAAACATATTAAAGAGAATTGGTCCCAATACTGAGCCCTGGGGAACGCCACTCACGACCAGCCGTCAGCTGGATGTAACTGTTCACTACCACACTCTGGGACTGACCATCCAGGCAGTTTTTTACCCACCCGAGCATTAGACTGTCAGCTTCTCCAGGAGAATACTGTGGGAAACAGTGTGAAAGGCTTTACTACAGTCCAGATAGACAACAACCACAGCCTTTCCCTTATTCACTGGTCGGACCACTCTCACTGAAGGAGATCAATTGGTCAAGCAAGACCTGCTTTTCATAAACCCATTCTGGCTGAGTGCAATCCCCTGGTTGTCCTTTACATCTTGTATGATGACACTTATAGATGATCTGCTCCATGACCTTCCCTGGCACCAAGGTCAGGCTGACAGGCCTCTAGTTCCGCAGGTCTTCCTTCTGATCCTTCTTGTAGATCTTGTAAATTCCAGTCAACCGGGACCTCTAGAATACCAGTTATCCTAGCAAAACTCTGTGGAACTTCTTTTTTCAAATTGAAAAACAGTATCAGAAATACATTGTCTGTGTTTCATTATTAACTGAACTTCTACTATCATGAAGGATTCTTATTATATTGCCAAGAATGGTATTTTTTGCATGACTTGAAAAGGTTGACTCTCTTTTTAAGTGTTCTGCTTACAAGGATAGGAGGGAGAGTTTAGCACTATGTGGGTGTGACCAAACTGTGTATTTGACATCCTCTACAACATCTTTGGCAGACTTTCTCTTTAAGATCTGCAACCAGAAACTGAAAGTTGGCAATTTTTACTGCTGCATTTGCATGAGAAGGTGTGTGGGACCAGGGGTCGGGACAATGTGACTGCTTGGCACCGGGAGAGAGAGAGCCTGTCACACCACACCCCACCACCACCGGAGCCGCTACAACCACAGCCGTCACTGCTGGAGCCACCGCAAATGCTGCCGCAGCCCCAAAAGCCACCAGCATGGGTTGCCACCATGCAGCAAAGAGTCCCAGCCAAGCCTCACAGAGCCCAAAACCCCAGTAGAGATGAGCAGAGTAGTGCCAGTGCTGGAGGAAGCTGTGTGGCAGGGAACAAAGAACCTCCTGCGTCCACACCACCACTATGCTGAGACCCACACCAGCATCTCAGCAGCATAAATCCTTTCAGATAAAATAGTCTTTGAGGGTCTTTTTTGCTTTGCCCCTGTTCCCCATTGTTTTTCCCCATACCCAGGGAGGGCATTAAATTGCAAAAAACTTGTTTGCCACAGTACTTTCTTTGTTCTTCCAGGCCTTGTGGCGTGCAGCACAAGAACAGGAGCCATTTTTGTTTTACCCTATGGGTCGGGGGCCAGGTAACATTTTGCCTTTTTTGGTTTTTATGGTTAAACCATTTCCCTCTGTATTGTTTTATTATTTGCAAGTTTTACCTCAGTAAAATTGTGATGAACATTTTTAACCTCTCGCAGTCTTGTTTTCTTTGTTTTCCCCCTCCACTATCATAAGGGAGCAGCTCAAGCAGTCTTAACTTTTCTCTGCTGATTTTTTAAAACCAGCACAATAAGATGGAAAGATAGTGGGCTATGAGTTCTATATTTTACATCTGAAACCAGACTACCACTGGACTGCCCATCTCACTTCTATTTGAAAGCAGCAAACTTTCTCAGTCCAAATTGCACATCTAAACAGGGTATTCAGCAGCCTGAATACCTGTCTCCTGCTGTTACATTTCCAAGCCCATCTTACCTTTGAAAATTCAGCCAGTGGAGAAGGAAATATCTCTACAATCTTAATAACAGGTCAATTTTTTGAGCTTTCATTATATATGAAACTTACATCCTGTAAATCCATCTCCTATGTATATTTTGGATTTCTCTTTTATGTTGAAGCTGTTACAATTTTTTATGGAATAATTGACATTGGATTATAGCAACACTCAGAATGATCCTTCATTTCTGTCAGTTTTGAGATAGAGGACTCAAGCTAAGATCTGGTCCCAGATCATAAGTAATTCAGTCTCTTCTTTCATGGATTTTTTCTTTGTTTTTTTGATTATATTATTTTCTTCTAAATATTAAATTGCACCAAGATAAAGGACATATTATTTTTTATGCCAGTCTTCCTAGACAGTTGAGGTAGTGTAGAGGTAGAAATCCATTCTCTTCACTATTAGGTGTCTGCTTTCCTTCAGTTACTGTATCCTCCCCAGACCTCACCAGTCGTTATTTACAGTGAGGGCTTGTTTGGGTTTGTTTTGGGGTTTTCTTGGTTGGGATTTGTTTTTTTTTTCCCAGGTCGTTCCTACAAACAGGAAATAGATCAGTTTTGCATTATAGGTAGAAATGCAGCTGGTCAGCTATTATTATATATAGAAGGACTGGCTGTCAATTTCTGATAAATTCATGTAAATTTGTATTAATTGTGTTTTTGTAATAGGAATTTATGATAATAGAGCCTTCTATGGGGTACTACTATTAAAAACTCTTTATCAAGTCGTTGTTAGTGACACGATGTTGGATGAAGTGGTTGTGAGTGACTCAGCTGAATGAAGGTGAACCAAATAAAAGAAACTCTATAATTAAGGTTTTAAATTTAAAAGAGAAAACTTGCAAAAGTTGAATTGAATGTGGCAGAGACTTAGAATCTAAATCAGCAGCACAGGAATTTTCTTCAATTTTCATTACAAAGTAGAGAAAACTTGGAGGAAAGGGCCTCAAATGTAAGTGGATGAAAATAGTGTCTTGAAAAGTGAGAAAAACAGTAAAGCTGCAAAAAAAGGAAAAAAAGGGTTTAATCAGTAGCGAAAGTTATGTGTTCCAGATTGCTATGTTTAGAGAAGGAGTGAGAACTGCAAAAGTCAAGATAAATTAGATCTTTCAAAGGATATTAAAACAAATACTGAAAAGTTTCTTATTCATATAATTAAAAATAGATCAAGGAAAAAGATTAAATATAATATAGATATGACCCCAAAACCTGAATTAATACTTTGCCTCGGCTTTTAATAAATTTGATGGCACTAAGCATATTCGAAGAGGCAAGCTACCTTATAGAAATCAGGGTCTACAAGTGTAAAATTACAATAAATAAGGTGCAAAAAAAATCTCAGTAGATATTCAGTGTACTCAAGCTGGAGGACACTACAATCCATTTTCAGAAAAATTATATGATATCTCAGGTAATTCCAAGTGTTTCAGCTGAGTGTAATTGCTAGTTTTAGTCCATATAGTACCACTTCAGTTATGAAAATAATAGTATTTGAACACTTATTGTCATGCAATGATTTACAAGTAATTTGAAGGAAAGAATGAGTTAAGACAAAAGTAAACAGATAATAAGGTTAAAAACCCTGTGAGTTCATAAAAATTATGATGGCCAGGCTAACAGGCTGCCTTGATGTTTTTTGTAGATGATTTTTTTTTCTTAAGTGAATAGTAGGTAAATTAAATGAGGGAGAAATGACCAATGGAGACTTAAATAAAGAATTTGATACCATAAACATACTAAAAAATAATAATTGTATAGAGCAGAAGGTCTTGCAATTTGGGATTAATAACAATACTTTTACTATCAACTAGGATTCTATCATTTTGGAAGGACAATAGGGAAAGAACGTAATTCATTTGACAGTAGGATAACTATTGGCTACAGAAGTGAAGTGGCTGCAAAACAGGCATGGCAATCGGAAATGCAGGAGTGAGGGGAAGGCAGACCAAAACCTGTTTTTTTTTAACAGAGCCATATATGAGAGTTGTCATTAGGACAAAGCTGCCTCTGTCAGTGAAAAGGTTTACCTTTGGATTTTTTTGCCACATACACTTAACATCTACTAGTTTAACTTGACACTTAATAAAATTAGATATAATTTTGTTAAACAACCTTATGTGGAATAATATATGGAGTTTGTTAAAAATAAGAATACTAACCATTCCTGATTTTTCAGGTACTTATTTGCTCCTCAGAAATGGCACTACTGGAATACAAATACCCTAATAGTGACACAAAAAAAGAACATAATGACACAAACATATGCACAGAAATCAAAATAATATTTTGGCAATGGTTGAACATATATCAGCCTGGGTTTGATGTCAGTTTTTCTTCTGACTAGATCTTATTCATTGTTTCCCATAGATTAATATTTATATAGAGAATAAAACATAGCAACATCCTTATAAATAATAATTTTATTTGCTTCATCACTTTAGATTTCTGGAAAAACAAACCCCATCTATGAGGACACAATCTCTGCTGCAAAATTTTCAACTCAAGATTGAATTAAAAATTTTACTGAAGTATGTTGTGCAGAGAGATGGTTTCAAGACTCAACAGGCAAAGAAAACACCTTGACTGCTGTCACATTGGTTGGCCTTATGTTTCTTTATTAAGTAAAACATATCACACATATCTTACATACTTTTACTTTCACATTCCACATCTGATTCCATATTTCAAGAGAATTAAAGAAGAAATTAATTTTTAGAGCATACAGAATTCAAAACAGGGTTTAACAGCACTTGACCAA